AGGCGGAGGAGGAGAAGGGGGAGGAGGAAGGGCACTTCGGGCGCCGCCGCCGCGCCCGCGCGCGGTCAGCGCGGCGCCGCCCGACGCCGCAGCTGGCGGCTAGCCCTCCCCATAGGGGCGCGGGCTGCACCGCGCGGGCCGCTGCTGCCGCTCGGGGCGGCGCCCCCTGCCGGGGGCCGCGCCGCTGTGCAGCTCGGGGGTGCGCAGGTTCGGGGCGCTCCAGAGCCGGGGAGACGTGCAGCGGAGGCCAGCCCACAAGAGACCTTCCACGAGATACCCAACCCTGAGACCCCAGGACGTCCAGCGGACTCTTGGTGCGGGAGCGCCACGCTTTCCACAGCAAAGCCATCGGAACCCAAGAAGCCCAGGGCACCCTGAAGGCACGCAGGGTGGTTCTTGGCATGGGCCTCCACTGTAATCGGGGAGACATAAGGCTCTGTAATCGGGGAGACATAAAACTCGGGTACGGGGGACTCGGGTTGGCCTGACGGAGCCACCGTAAAAATGGCGAGACCCAACATGAAAATTGGCGCGAGCTCCCGCTGCAAGCATCCCACGAAAACTGGGCCGTCAAGATCCAGGACGCGCTCGTCAAAGAACGCCAGCAAACCCGATGTCCCATTTCACTCGAGTCTTACGCTTCCCCGAAAGAGGGGGGGGCGTCCAAGCTCGCGGCCCAGGGGGGGAGGCGGGGACGTGTCGAAGCGAGAAGAGGCGCCATGAGTTCTGGGGAGAGATCACACCCCCTGCCATGAATAAGACCCCCCTCCCCTAGTCATCACCCCACTCCTCCTCCTCCTCCTCCTCCTCCTCCTCCTCCTCCTCCATTTCCTGGCAAAGCCAGCCAGATACTCCCTCCCCACTCCCTCAATCCCCTGCCTCCTCCCCTTCCTGCTCTCCTCGAGGGACAAGAGGGGGATACGGCGACAACCCGGGCCTGGAGATGCATCGTGCGTAAGCTAGGTCAGGCATGCCCTCCTACAGGCGGACTTTGGGCGACAGAAAAAAGATGGTCCAAAAATAAGCAAACAAGAATCAAAACTAGTAAAACAAAAGTCCCCATATTATGTTTAGACTATTTTTGAATCTTCCTCCTGTAGAGGGACACGCCCGACTTAAGCGTAGGCAGGGGCCCGGCGGTCCGACGGGGCCGGCCTGGTGGTGGGCGAGGAGCGGGTGGAGACAGCAGCAAGCCGAACCAGCGCGGGAGGACGGAGCTGCACGGTTCCCCCCGGGGCCGTAGGCGCCCCGACGAGGAGGAGGAGGAGGAGGAGGAGGAGGAGGAGGAGGAGGAGGAGGAGGAGGAGGGGAGAGGGGACAAAGAGGAGGAGGAGGAGGAGGAGGAGGAGGAGGAGGAGGAGGAGGAGGAGGAGAACGGGTCGCCGGAGCCCTTCGGAGAAGCCTTCCAGGCGGAGGGAAGCATGGCAGGGGCAGAGGCGCTGCGCCGGGTGAGGGCCCTCTCGCGCTGCCAGGCAATGCCAACGGAGGATCTGGCGGCCCCGTCCCCGACCCCGGGGGGCTGTCGGACAGACCCACAAACGGGGGGGCCACATGCGAACCCTACCCCTACCCCCCACGATTTCTGAGGGGGGTAGGGGTAGGGTTCGCATGTGGCCCACTATTGACAATGCTGGGCCCAGCCCTGGGATGTACTATGGGGAGGCGCTACTTCTCCATGGGGGCGCGTCCGAATAGCCCCCAAGGGGTGTTCCCAGACCTCCCCCATCCTCCTCTGACCGGCCAAACTTTTCGGGCGGCACTCGGGCTTTGGGGGGAACATGACGCGCAGCAGGCCTTCCTTGGATCGGGGAGGCGCAAGACTCGGGTACGGGGAACCCGGGTTGGCCTGACGGGGCCATCATGAAAATGACGACATCCCATCTGAAATTTGACGCGAGCTTTCGCCGCAAGCATGCCACGAAAACCGGACCGTCAAAATCCAGGACGCGCTCGTGAAGGGCACCCTGGAGGCAAGCAGGGCGTTTCTTGGCATAGGCCTCCTCTGTAATCAGGGAGACATAAGACTCGGGTACGGGGGACTCGGGTTGGCCTGACGGGGCCATCACGAAAATGACGAGACCCCCACCTGAAATTTGACGCGAGCTCCTGCCGCAAGCATCCCGCGAAAACCGGACCGTCAAAATCCAGGACGCGCTCGTCAAAAAACGTCGGGGATCTTCTGACCCGGGCCAATCCAAACCTGGGTCAGCAGGAAACAAAAAAACTGCAATGCAGGAAACCAAAAACTGCAACGCAGGTCTTCCCAACCCCGGGTCAGCCAATATGCGCGGCCGCCTGGCGGCCACGAGCGGCTCGCTAACCTGGGTCAGCCAAAGCGGGTCTTCGCAGGATCCTGCAGGATCCGGTGCCCTGGCTGACCCCCGTTTACATTGACCCCCGTCTCTTTCGGCTACACGCCAGAGTGACCCTGGGTGAGAGTGACCTTTGGTGCGCGGCTTTTGGGGGGCCGCGGGGGGACCAAACTGAGGCGCGCAGGCCGCTGCTCCTGCCTCGTGTTCAGCCATCTGGGGACCCATCTGTGCCCGCACCAGAGGTCACTCTGGCGAAGGGTCAATCTTACGTCCAGTCTTAAGTCGGGGCTGTCCCCCTACAGGGGCATTTTCGATGAAAAAAATACCCCCAAAATAATCCAAACATAATCTGGGGACTATTTTGGGAATATGTTTTACCTTTTTGGGGTATTTTTTGACTATCTTTTATTTTTGGTCGAAAAAAACCCTGTAGGGGGACACGCCCGACTTACGTCTAGTCGCCTCTGGAGCCCCGAAAGCGTCGGGAACACCCGAGTGCCGGCTTACTCGCGTCGTGCGCCTCCCCGGCGGGCGGCTCGGCGGGCCTCGGGCCCTCGGGCCGGGGTCCGCTCGGCCTCAGCCCCGAGGGCACCGAGCGCCTCGCGGAGGGCCGGGGGGGGTCCCTCTCGCAAGCAGGAAGGCGCCTGAGGAGTGGACTGGGATCTGGAGGTCCAGAATACCTACGGTCAACCCATATGGTTACTCTATGTGGGTTGGCCGTCGGTATTCTGGATCCCCAAATCCCTTACTGCGTCACAGTAAATATACACGGACATGTGCCGCAGTCGGCTCCCAGCTTGTTACACCACCATTACACATCCCCATCCAAGATCCCCAGATCCCCATTACACATCCCCAGATCCCCTGATCCCCAGTATACCCATCTTCTTACATCCCCAGATCCCCATCTCTCTTCGCAGTACCCTTGGAAAGGTTTCCCATCCTTAGCATGTCATCGTAAGGATGGGCACCCTTCCAAAGGGTACCCTTGCATCCTCGCCTTCTCGGTCCAACTCTCGCCACTCTCGCTGGCCGCGCCGCGCTCGAAAAGCTTCGACTTGGGCGTCCAAGGCTCTTGCATCCTGACCGCGCACCTTTTGCTACACAGGCTGACTGTGCGTGCTGCTGGACACGGTACGCTTTTTATGTCCGTATCCATGTCGGTCGTGCCAATGAGAGAGCGAGCCCGGCTGTAGGTGTCTTCGCCCTTCAGGGGCCGTGCAACCCCGCTCTGGCCCTGCTCCGGCCTCGGGAGAGGCTCGGGTTTGTCGGCCCGCTCCTGTCGGGGCCGGCAGAGAGGGCGGTGATGAGGGGGGGGGGTATCATGGCGTGGGCCATGATGCTTCCTCAGGTTTCACGGCGCCCTCTCTTATTCTGTTACGTTTCTCGCAGTTGTTGTTTTCGGTGGCACCGAAGCTTGAAGCCCAGGGCGGGGTTGGGGAGCGAACAAGGCCGGAGGCTCCTGCGTCCTTGCCTCCTCGGGGGATGGGGGTGGGGATAGGGATCGGGATGGGGGTCGGTTGAACGGTACTGATGGGGATGGGGATGGGGATGGGGATGGGGATGGGGATCGGTTCAACGGTACGGGAGGATGTGGTCTCCCACCCGCGCAGGGGCAGAGCGGGTCGGCGCCACAGCCAGCGGCCCGCATGCCGCGGGGACGGGGCCCTCCTGGCGGTGGCGCCCCCCTCCTCCGCTCGGGCCGTCGCCGCTCCCCAGCTCGAGGGGGCAGCCTGGCCCTCCGCGCCGGAGGTGGCCCGCTGGTGGCGGCTTCGTGCCTCCTCCCTCCGTCGTCCCTCGAGGAGGAGGGTCGAGATTCGAGGCTCGAGCCCGAGCTTTTCGAGCCCGTGTGAAGGACGGGGGCGCAATAAAAACGGGGGACCATGAAGAATGACCATCGAGAATTACACGGAAACTGCCACGACAGGGGGCCCAAAAGGCCACTGCGCTGCCACCGCGTCCCCAAACGGTCCTGGACAAGTGCGCCGATCTTCCCCCCCCCCGCTTGCTTCGAACCTCGTTCACGCCCGCAAGAGTTTTTGATACCCAGGGGCCTCTGAAGGGCCACACAGCTCCCGTGTTCCGGTTGTGCATCTCACGATGGAATTTTTCGGTTGGAGTTCCAGGTCGGCTATGGCACGCGTCCGCGGATAGAGACAGATCAACGCAACGGGGAGCTACGGGAGGGAGGGACCGGATGCCAGGTGTGGAGCGAGCACACCTAGCTTGAGGCTTCCCCTCTCTTCTCTTCCCCCTCCCTCATCGCCCACCTCCACCTCCTCCACCTCCTCCTCCTCCTCCTCCTCCTCGTCCTCCTCCCTCGAAGCCTCTCGGTTGGGCTCCTGGCGGTCGGCCGAGGGCTCCCGCAGATCTGCCACAGGTCCTCTGATCCGCGCTTCTCTCTCTCTCTCTCTTTCTCTCTCTCTCTCTCTCTCTCTCTCTTTCAAAAAGAAATCTAATGAAAGCAAACTCGAGAGCCCTTTCACTCAGGACTTTCTTCTTCACAGCGGATGACTACCTCTCCTCATTATTCACCTCCTGCTGCGCAGAGAGCCTCCCCCATCACTGCCTCCGTCCACCCTACTCGACATGTCTTGCCGAAACCAAATCGCCATTTTTCTCTCCCGGGTAACGGTCGTTACCAAGGGGTGGGCGTTCGGGTGGGAGGGGAAGGGGAATGGCGGCCGCGACAAGCACCCGATAGGGTGTCCTCCTCGATCGTCTGTAACACGTGCAGCCCTGCGCCGCGCTGCTGCAAAACGGCACGACGCGCAGCCCGAGCAAAATGTGCGCCCGAGGCCGAGATCGACACCCTCCGTCGCTCGGGACCCGACGGCCAGGGGGCGGCTCGGAGGACGTGCCACGAGTGGATCCCGGGAGAGACCCTGGGAACGAGTTCGACGGGACTTGTCCGATGGGGGGAAGGCGGCCTTCTCAGAAGGCCCCCCCACGCACCCGTCACCCGCTCTTGACCGTCCACCTCTCCTCCTCTTGCCTCCTCCTTGCCTCCTTGCCTCCTTGCCTCCTTGCCTCCTTGCCTCCTCCTCATCCTCCTCCTCCTCATGCCTCACTCCCCCTCGCTCAACCTCTGTCCCCTTGCCCCCGTCACCCTCTTCCCCTCCCTTCCCCCTCCCCTGCTGCATTGCAAGCGCTGCTGCAGCACAACCGCTCCTTCAGTGCGCATGCCCTTCTACACCACCATCGATCCCGGCTCGTCCTGGACCAGAATTGGTGTAGATCCAACATAGGGCCAAGGACTAGGACAGAGACTCTGATAAAAACTCCTGGATCAAAAAGTAAGGGGCCGATTGTCCACCACCACTATCACAGGTAGGACGGGGGAACAGGGAGGGTGGGGAGGTCCTTCTCCTCATCCTCATCCTCCTCCTCCTTTCTTCTTCCTCCTCCTCCTCCTCCTCCTCCTCCTCCTCCTCCTCCTACGCCTCCTCCTCCTCCTCAGCCTCCTCCTCTCTTCCTCCGCCTCCTCCTCTTCCTTGTTCTCCTCCTCCTCGTCCTCCTCCTCCTCCCTCTCCTGCCTGTGGTCGTGGTGTTGGAAAATCGGCCCATCAAAAAGGGATGGGCTTGTGGTGACGTGTACAAAGCAGGCCCCGAGCTCCGCGCACTGGCCTGTGGCAGGGCCGCCCGGCCGAAGACCGCGAAGAGCAAGTGCAGTGCGGGATGCCGACCTCCACGGAAATGCACGCAGTCTGCCGCGCCAGCGAAGCCACAGGCCGGCGTGCAGTCGGGGCGCTGACCCAAGGAACCTTCAGTAAGGAGCGAGGTCCCTTTTTTCGATCACTTAAACTTCGATTTCCCATCGAACACCTGAGGAAAACCCGAGGCAAACTGCACAACAACCACGGAACACCGATCCCCTCCCAAACGAAAAGGGCTCCTTCTTCAGCGCCCCGACTGTACACCGGATGATGTCCTCCATGGGGTCGACTACCAGGAAAGCTCGTCGGAGTCCGCCTCCAGTCCCCCCACCTGGCATGACTCCTGCATGCAGTTCCCACCTCTTCTGCCATCCAGCTCGCTCACTTGCCCTTGCCTATGTAGCAGCTGCTGCCACTTGAACATCACTTGCACGAGCAAATGCATCCACGGCTAACGAACGCACACGCAGTGAGGTCACCAGGCCAGATAGCAACAGCCAACCAGTACATCATCCTGATCCTTTCCACCCCTACAGACCTCGTCTTTCGACTCCACATTCTCCTCAACACGACATTCATGTACTCCTACCGCGGCATACAGAGCGCTTCAATCTCACCAACACTGTCCCTAGCATATGCAATCGGCGTCATAAGCTAAGACTGCCACATCAATCAATGCTAGCAATATCAGATTCAACGCAGAGGGAATTGATAAGAATATTTGCTGGTGGGCCTACAGCAGACCATGACTCTTCGTCACTGCTTGGCAAGCACCGACTAAGACTCTTCGCCACTGCTTGGATAAATCAACGACGAACTGGGAAATCGGATCGAGCCGGAGCGTGCATCGAATCGGGCTGCATCGGCACGAAATCGAAATCGAGCCAGATCGGGCTCATCAAGATGCACAACACCCATGCGAAGACATCGGGTCGCACTGGGTCGTCGAAATGTCGGAATCGACTCGGATCGGGTTGGACAGAATCGGTACTGGATCGGATCGATCGGACCGCAATGGGCACTACTTCGTCAGGGGTCGCTACCACCTCGAGAAGGACGACTCATCGGGAGCAAAGGCACTCAAAACCGTCTAAATTCTCCTCGACCCCTGACGCTCGTAGTCAGATCCTTCGAAAGAGCTGGCGACAACTTGACCTGCAATCTAGGGAAACGCCCAGTGAAAAATCAGATCGTCTGATAGCTGGACTTGGCCCTGCCTGATAGGAATTATGTTGCATCTTTAGGGGGACCTCACCTGTTCCATCGCGCCAACCATCCGTGTCGCATCCATGTCGAATCCATGTCAAACGCGTCGAATCCGTGTCAAATCAATGTCGGATCCGTATCCAGACCACGTCGAAGTCACGTCGAATCCGCGTCGAACCCACGTCGGAGTACAGGAAACGACTCCCACTTACAGACAGGACGAGATAGGCCCCCCCGAAGATGCGAAAGAACTGCCCCCTCGACGACTACACCCCCGACCTGAGCTGGATCGACTCGTGAGATCGCCCGCAGCAAAAACAAATACACAGACACCATCCAATGGATTGTTCCTGGGCCTCACAAAAGGGGGAGGCGGTGTGTACATCACCATAGAGAGCCAACGACTTCATACACCGCCACCACCCCTGACGCTACATGCAAGATTCGTTGGAGGGTGCAAATGCCAATGTTGTAGAACTTCTTATGTATACATATACTAGAACCACGCGCGCGCTTCGCGCGCGCTTAGGTTCTAGCTAGGAGGCGAGCTTGAGTCAACGAAAGTCGCAGGGAAGGGGGCAGGGGGAAGAAGGCCAGAGAGCGCTGAAGGATACAAATACTGGAACCCTCTTGTGATTTTGTGGGGGGCCTCGTCCGGCCGCTCGCTGGGAGTTTGACGTAGCTTCTCGGGAGCCTCTGAACCTGTCGGGGGCCTCCTGGAAGCAGGTTCGAAGCATTTTGGGGGCCGATTTGGGGCTTCTCGGGGCCTCCTTTGGGCCTCTTGGGGGTCTCCTGGGGCCTCTTGAGGGGCCTCCTTGGGGCCTCCTGGCGGCCTCTTGGGGCGGAAGGCTCGAGCTTGCGGTTCGTGGTCCCCCTCTGGGCCCCCTCTTGGGCCCGTCTTGGGGCCCTCTTGGGCCATCTTGGGCGCCTCTTGGGCCGTCTTGGGGCCCTCTTGGGCTGTCCTGGGGCCCTCTTGGAAGCTTCTTGGGCCGTCTTGGGGCGGTCTTGGGCGCCTCTTGGGCCGTCTTGGACGCGGTGAAAGCCCAAGAGGCGAACATGCGAAACATATACGTTTTCCCATAGGAATGGCACGATTTTTGCTTCTTGGGCCTCTCTTGGGCTGCCTCTCGGAGCGTCTTGGAGGCTTCTGGGACCTTCTTGGTGTCATGACAGGCGTCTTGGAAGGCATCTGGAGCCATCGGAGCGCGTTCCGAAGCCGCCTGCGAACGATCTTGGACGGCGTCCGGCGGTCCGACGAGCCTCCGGGCCCCCCGGGGCCCACATTTGTGGTCGGGGTCCCGGCCCCGGGCCCCCGGACCCGGTGCGCCGTTTTATGTATATATATATATATATATATATAATATATATATATATATATATATAATATATATATATATATATAATTTCCTCTTCCTATATTTTTACAAGCCCGGGCGGGGGGAAAACACGTCCCCCCCCAAAAAAAGAACGGACTCCCGGGATCTGGGGCTTTGGGACCCTTCGGACGGGCCTCGAAGCGGCCCCCAGGGCCTCGCAGGGCGTTTTGCCAAGCCTTCGCAGCACACTTAGGGCGATCAAGGGGGTCATCGGAGACGTCCCAAAGAACCCCAAGACAGCACAAAAGCGCTCCAAGGAGCCGTCATACCCCGAAAGATCGCTCCACAACGTACCAAGAGGCCTCCAAGAGCACCCCCAAGAAGGCCCCGAGAGGAAAAACAAATTGATTTAATGTAGGTGTTTGGTGAATTTGGGGTTCTTTTCTTTTCGGCTTCCCGACGCTCCAAGACAGCGGTCTTCTGGGCGTCCGAAGTCGCCCGGGAGGCTCCGAAATCACCCCACAACTATCCGAAAGGGTTTCCAGGCAGTCCAAGAGAAGCCCAAAACGGCTCAACAAGGGTCCAAAATGGCCCTAAGAGAGCCCCATGGCGGCCCAAGATGGCCCCAAGACACCCTCCGAAGCATTCCAAATCGTGACCGGGCGTTCAGGGAGACCGCGGTTAGAGGCAGGTTGGCCTCAGGAAGCCCCAGAGGCCCCCAGAACACGCCCAGGAAGCCTTCAGAAGGCTTTAAGAAAGCCTGAGAACTTTGGTGAGGCCCCCAGACGCTCTCCAAGGAGGAGCCTCCGCAAAAAGAGCTGAGGAGGATGAGGAGAATGCCCAGGGTATGGCGAGAATGAGTAACAGCAAGCATGGAGGAAGGATAACGAACAATACTATCATCATGGCGATGCCAGACAAGGCAGCAAGGAATTATCGCTGAATGGTCCGCTTGACCTTCCTGCCATTTCCGCCTGCATACCAATCTTCAAGGACCAAGGTGCATGGCGCGAAGCGCCACTGCACTCCTGCACATCTCTATGTGAATATGTACACGTATGTAGTGATTCTCGTGGCGGAGATCGGACCGGATCGGATGCGACAGGTTCGTGTCGTGCCGACTCCGGCCTTGGTTCCTGACACCGCGGGGATCGTTCAACCTTGAACGATCCCCACGGCGGCGGGGTCGCCGCTGGTCGGCACGACAGGGACCTATCGTACGGATAGGACCGCCAGCGGATCACCCCGCCTCGAAGGGAGATCGGCTCGCCGCGCCCAGCTCCGGCGGGCCCTGGGCGATGCCGGTGGATCGGGCTGGACGGAATCGAATCGGAATCGTGGGCTCGGCCCCCAGGGCTGAACCTGAACGGCGTTTTCCGTTTGGGTTTTGTTTTCGCTTTCCCTCGGTTTGTCCTCGATTCGCCTGTACCGCAAAACGAAATGGGAACGAAAACGGCCCACGAAATCGCCAAAACACCGCTTAGATCCAGCCCTGCTCGACCGACGAATCGAATCGCAACGAATCGACTGGGAGCGTCGGCGGCCCTGTGTATGCCAACATTTTGCCCTCACCTCCCTCCCTGATTCGCGCCTCCTCCTCCTCCTCCTCCGCCTCCTCCTCCTCCTCCTCCTCCTCCTCCTCCTCCTCCTCTTCCACCTCCCCCTCCCCCTTCTCCTCCTCTTCCTCCTCCTCTTCGTCCTCCTCCTCCTTCTCCTCCTCCCTGATTCGCACCTGTCTGGCGGGAGGAGCCCCCGCGCCCCCGCGCCACCCGAGACCCGCGGCAATAAACAGAAAACCGCATCGGCGCTACGAAAGATTTGACCCGCTCCGTGCCTCCACCAAGACACGTCTTAGGCGGGAGCGCCACTGCGAATTCGAGCTGGAAGCGTGCCGACCTCTACTCGGGGGGGGGGGGGGGGGGGGGCAAAAGACCATCTGCGAATAACCAAGGCTGTTCTCAACCCAAGTCGGCCAGGGCCCTGCTGCGAATCCTGGCCAGAAATGTAGTAGCTCTCAAACCTGGGTCAGCGGAGGGGGGAAAAAGGGAAATCGGCCCCACGTGGCTCCCAATCCCGTGTCAAGGAAAACGGATTGGCTGACCCCCGCCAGCGCTAACCCCCGTTACATGAGCCCCGACCTTGTCCTGCTTCCCTCTTCCTGGCTTCCCTCTCGAAGGACTTTGATCGAGAAGAAAGCTGTATAGGTGGCGAATCTCTCGAAGGGGGTCGTCCTGGAAAGGTCTGCAACACCAAGCTGGTAGGCTCGTGGACAACCATTCATTCCCCCAACAATCAACCACGATATAGATCAGCCAGTGCGCGTTATAGTAGTAGTAGTAGTAGTAGTAGTAGTAGTAGTAGTAGTAGTAGTAGTAGTAGTAGTAGTAGTAGTAGTAGTAGTAGTAGAGTAGTAGTAGTAGTAGTAGTAGTAGTAGTAGTAGTAGTAGTAGTAGTAGTAGTAGTAGTAGTAGTAGTAGTAGTAGTAGTAGTAGTAGTAGTAGTAGTAGTAGTAGTAGTAGTAGTAGTAGTAGTAGTATCAGTAGTAGTAGTAGTAGTAGTAGTAGTAGTAGTAGTAGCAGTAGTAGTAGTAGTAGTGGTGGTGGTGGCGGCGGTGGTAGTAGTACTAGTAGTAGTAGTAGTAGTAGTAGTAGTAGTAGTAGTAGTAGTAGAAGAAATAATACAAGTAATATAGTGGTAGTAGTAGTAGTAGTAGTACTTAGTAGTAGTAGTAGTAGTAGTAGTAGTAGTAGTAGTAGCAGTAGTAGTAGCAGTCGTAGATATGGTAGTAGTACTA